GGAAGCCGTGCTCTTGCAAAGTAACCAGAAATCTGCTCATTTTAAACGTTACATTTACGAAGACACAAATACTGTCAGCGCTTTAAAATATTACTATTTAGCTCATGAACAGTTTGGAATTGCTTTGAAGAGGTGCCTAAGGCCATGGAAATCACCGAAAGATATGTTTTGGTGAGTTAGATATCACGTGTTTTGGATCCTATTGTTTTGGGAAATTGGGAATATGTTGATGTGTTATGTCTCTTTCTCTCTTTCTCTCTCTCTAAACCCCAAACACAATCAATCCCCATCCGACTGAACCGGAACAAGGGGGCCGGCCACAGGGGTTTATATATTAACAACTTTCATACCGTAAACTAAAAAAAACCATAAATAACGAGAGACCTACTTAAGTTCACTTTTTCTCCGCAACCACAAGGAGTTGCGGGGAGTATTTGGGAGCGTTAGCAAGGTCTCGAGGTCCTGCGTGGCTTGGGCTATGTGGCGTTCCAATTACAGGGTTCCTATGGGGGGTCAGGATGCGAAAAAAAACTAAAATCATACCGCTTACATATTGAAGCAACAGTACATGGTTGCAGGTTTATTTAGGGTGCTACGGAAACCTATCACAGTGTGAATTACTTTCAAATATTGGGTCATATGTTAAAGTTTCCAGGATAGACCCAAGTGCCAGTGATTTTTAACCAAATTCAAATACTGAAGAACCAGAATGTAGATTTAAAGAAAATGAAGAGGGTTCTCAACACCATGATTCTAATCGTGATTTAATGACAGAGATCACAGGTACCATTTAATGCTGATACAGGTAAATCTGTTGCAAACTTATGCCTGATGCAAATTTGATGAATACTTTGATATCTTATAACCTTAGGAGTTTAATGCCTATGGTAAAAGTACAGAAAATTAGTGGGATGTAACTCAGTACAAATCTTTTATTAGATCCTTTGACAGTATTAATAGTAATAAACTTACAGATGATGAAAAGCTATTTTATCTTAGAACAAAATATCTGGTAAACCAAGGGACACAGGGCTTGTGCTCACATGGAACCAGGTGAAGGATATAAGGAAGCTGGGTATCTATTACACAGGAAATCTGGTGACCAAGAACTTATAGCAACTGCTTATGTGGATAAAATCTTGGTGTGGCCAAGGTTGAGGGATGATGACGTGGAAGAGGGTGATCAGTTCTACATCACTTATAGGGTGTCGTAATGCTTTGTGTGGAGGCCTTCAAGGAGCTAAGGAAATCGAGCACCCCGGGATTATGAGGAAAATTGTGGAGCAGCTACCATTAACCATGCAGGAGAAGTGGTGTGCCGTATATTTAATATTGGAATATGGAGGCAGAACTTCTCCATTTAATTTAGTAGATTTCATATATAGGAGGTTGATATAATGTCTCATCCCTTATTTGGAAGGCATCTATTTAGTACTAAGGGTATGCAAAGGGAAGGTAAATCATGGAAGAATGACGATAAGTTCAAGATGCAATTAGGGACCAAGCTAAAGCACGAATTTGACAAGGTATTTTGTAATAAGGTCACAGAAAATACAAAGCAAGGACTAAAATGCTGGTTTAGTAGTGTGCCACATAATTTGGATGAAGGTAAACAGTTGAGCCAAAGACCACAAAAGGAAAGATTGGAAATTTATATCAAAGAAAGGATTACGTTTTGGATGTCTTAATAAAGGGCATTGTCTAAAGAATGTATCAAGAAAAGGATTTGTCGAATATGCAAGGTTAGACATCCCGCAGTCCTCCATAGGCAGTCTTCTCTAAGGGATGAATTTAAACGGGGCATAAATGACAATAAGAAACCAGGTGACTTTATAGAGAATAATGATCAGAAAAGGGATAATATTGATGATGTAACCTGTATAGCATCAGTGGATAGTGAAAAGGATTGACATAATTTGGTGAAGGTCAATGCCAAAAGAGTAAATAAGATTGGAAGGTCTAAAAAAGAAGCTTTTATGTGACGAGGTATTTTATAAGGATTATTGCGCTTTCATGACAGATGTAATAGAAAAAAGGTTATTCAGGGCGAGCGCCACAGACAAAGGACAATGAAGATAGCTGTTTGGTATATTCCTCCTCATGGTGTGTACCATCATCAGAAAACAGACCAGTTACGTGTGTTTTTCACTGGGCAGCCAAGTATAAAAATGAATCCCACAACAGTTCCCTTCTTCAAGGCCCTGCTTTGACCAAACCCATTTTAAGCAGGGAAAGTTCTTGTCTAAAATCTCAAGACTTTATCTTGCTACCTCAAGAATTTCGCTTGCTTTCTCAAGCGACCCCGGCTAGAAAAGTCAAGCGGTGGACCGTCGCCATGGCAACAGCGTCGTTCGCGTACCGTACTGTTTACAATCCTTCGAATGCGGGCGTTGGCCAAGAACTCCGCATAATATTTTATCATAGAAATATTTTTTTCACGGTATCTGATTCTGTAATTTCCATAAAATCATATTCAAAGAAATTGAATTAACAGAAAACGAAAGGAAATAATGGAGAATATGGGAATAAAAAGTGTTGTACTTATAAATGATATATTGTAAGACGAACAATTTACCTCTTACTTTTAAACTCTTCGTCTCTCAAAATCGAGAATAAATCTGCTATTCTATGAAATTAAGAATAATTCAAGTGAAAAAGTCTGAGAAATTCTAGCAACATTCTTCTGTTGATATTGTAATCGATGACATACATTTAACTTCATAAAATCGGATATATGGGAATGGGTAGGCCTATATTTTAATCCAGGGATGTTCATTTGATTTGATAACGCGTCAGAGTGCAAGGGTTGCCCATCAGAATTGTGTGTCACTGTTTTGGAGGCGCTTCATATGAATATATAAAAACCTTCCCAACACAATACAATACCATAGTACTATATGACCTTTGATGTCTAGCACATTTATTTTCTTGTCATTATTACTTACTTACTTCACATGAATATAGGAGAAAATATTGCAATTTGTTAAGATATTAGGATAGATCTATTTACTTCTCTGCTCTCTTGATGCGATGTTACCTTGTCAGTTGTTTTGAAATGCGCGCTCAAACTGTTGCCAACAGCCAATGAAATAAACTCCACCCTCGACTTATGCCCAAGGTATCTCTCTCCGAGATTGTTGGTGGGAATACTTGTCTATTGCTTTTAAAACCAAGCATGTATATGTTGTGTGTTATTTTGACATTCTATGCTCTCCAAGGACTATTACGTTTAAAGCAAGGAACGCTACAGTTCTTGACATATAGGCAGGGATTCTTACCCAAGCGCTCACCTGCTTAAAACGCTTATAGTTTCAAGACTTGGTTGCTAAATTTCAAGACAAGATAACAAATGATTAATGAAAAATATATTTTTTTTTCAGGTTTAAAGACATAGTTTCAAGACTGGCTCCAGTTTCAAGTCTGGCTACAGGGTGTGGCAAGATGTACATCGAGAACAGCATCAAGACCAAATTTCAAGATTGGGCTTCATTGTACGAGTGTTAGGAACCTCAAAGAAATTTCAAGATATGCTTGATCTCCAAGACTTCTTCAGTATCAAGACTAAGAAGAGTTGGTTTGGAGACCCACAGGAGTGAGTTGTTCTAGTGAAGATACACGTTTCAGCGTCAAGGGCTGGGTAATGCTACATGCTAGGCTTAGTTCTGGTTAATATTTTTTTGAGATCAAGTTCATTAATTACAATATGATGAAGAGTATAACATTACTATTATGAAATAAGTGCTGACAAGGGAGTAGGAACCATTTGTTTTGCATACTTTTGATGGTATTAATGTAATATGTCTGACATTATGGCAAAATCTATTGACTTCAAGAGAGTTGTAGAGAAAGAGGATAGTGTTGTATACAAGGCAGCCGAAAATATGGAAGATGAATCAAATTGGAAGGAAGTGTTAAATACCGGGCCTGACGACAGTGTATCCAGGGTGTCTTATAGGTCACAGGTAAAAGATTCTTGTGCTATGAGTATATTAAAAGAAGTGAATCAGGCTAAGGTCCTGATTTGACCAACCCATTAGTCCAGATATTATTTAGGTTCCATCAAGGTCATTTTGCATTCATTTTGCATTCAAGTTGGTGTTCCAGAAAAGGATGGGGGTTATTTAAGTTTTTTTGTGGTGGCCAGATGGAAATATCGAACAGGCTGTAAGTGAATATCGCATGGCTGTTCCCCCATTTGCAGCAAAGTCTTGTCCTAGTTCTAATTTTGCTCCACAGAGAACAGCAAAGGATTTTGAAGTGAATATTTGCCAGAAGTTCAAAAGACCATATTTAGCAATTTTTATGTTGGTGATTGTCTGAAGTCAATGGATATGGAAGATGAATCCAATTTTTAGTAATGAATTGTTGCATGTAGGTGGCAGGCTTACAAAGGCTCCATTAAGACATGATAACAAGCATCCATTTTGTCAAGTAAACACCATGTTACAGATATGATCATCAGAGATTGTCATGAGAGAGTGAGTCACCAAGAGCGTGAACATGTCTTGAGTTCACTTAGAGCAGTGTTGTCCAAACATTTTCGCCTATTGTACCCTTTATTATCTTCTTGTGCTGTTACGTATCCATGGCTAAACAAACGGTTTTATTTAGGACAGTGCAAATAATATACTAATTATGAAAAGATGGGATTGCAGGAGTGTTGGTCAATAAATTCGAATTTAAGACACGAATAAAAAAAATGATTCATAGAACATGTGATGTTTCTCTCTCTCTCTCTCTCTCTCTCTCTCTCTCTCTCTCTCTCTCTCTCTCTCTCTCTCTCTCTGTGTGTGTGTGTGTGTGTGTGTGTGTGTTCGTGTTCGTGTTCGTGTTCGTTCCTTGTTTGTTCACGTACCCTTAAGATCTATGTTGTGCACCCCAGTTTGGACAACACAGACTTAGAGAACTTTATTGGATAGTTAAGGGTAATAGTGCTGTGCGTAGGTTTATCAAAGGTTGTATTAAGTGTCGCAAGTACCAGCAACAGATGGGAGATCTTCCAGAAGGTAGGATCTCTGCCAACCAACCACCTTTCACTACAACTGGTGTAGATTTGTTTGGTCCATTCTATACTAGGAAGGCAAGCTCTCAGGTGAAGAATTATGGTGTAATATTTACATGCTTAACTATAAGAGCAGTACACGTAGACATTGCAGGATCATTGTCCACAGACTCATTTATTAATGCTCTAAGAAGATTCATAGCTAGACGAGGGCAAGTGAAATCTTTGTATCGTGATAGGGGCTTTTTAACTTTGTTGGAGAAGAGAGAGAATTAAAGGAAGGTATGAGGGAATGGAATGAGTCTCGTTTTAGTTGAGACCCTTTTGTTGAATAATATAGAATGGAATGTTAATCATCCTCATGCATCTCATTTTTGGTGGTGGTTGGGAAAAACAAATCGGAACCATTAGGAAAGTTTTAAATGGAATTATGAAAGAGCAAGTTCTGCATGATGAGGGTTTAAATACCCTGATGGGCGATGTTGAAGCTGTTATTAATAGTAGACCTATATCTACTGTTTCAAGTGACTGCCATGTTTTAAGCCCCATAGCACCTAATCATCTCCTTACATTGAAGGAAGATCCATTGTGTGTTAAGAATTGGACGCAAATGAAGTGTACAGTAAGCGAAGATGGCGTCATATTCAGTACATGGCTGACTTATTCTGGAAGATGTGAAGTCAGGAGTACTTGCTAACTCAACGGGAAGGACAAAAGTGGTTTGTGAAAGGCAGAAATTTAACTGTAGGAGATATTGTTCTGTTGGTTGAGGCAAATTCCCCCAGGTGTCATTGGCTAAAAGGTCTGTGTCATTTCTGTTAAGCAGAGTGGTGATGGGTTAGTAAGAAGTGTAACTGTCAAGTGTGAAAAGTCTTTTATGACTCGACCTATATCGAAGTTGATTCTCTTGTGTGAAAATGATAGTAATTGATTTAAAGGAGTTATATGATAGAATGTGAAAATGTTATAGCAGATGATTATGTTAAGATAATAACTGTTGTTGTTAAGATGAGTAATTTACTGAAATTATTACATGTAAGATAGGATTTTGAAAATGCATTCACTTTACTAATTTTGTTGAATCTCTATGAAGATTCAGAGGTTTGGGTGTAAACGCTAAAAGATGTATAGCGTTTGGTTTCTGATATTTTGTGAATTGTCGTACAATAAGGAACATTTGGCAACACTGGAAGTATGTGGCAATATGCATCTGGAAAATAAGTAACGATTATTTTTATTTGATATTAAAGCATTTTTCCACGAGTTAGATTTCACGTGTTTTTGATCATGTTGCTGTGGCAGGATATTGCAAATAAGTAGATGTGTTGTGCCAATTGATATTTATCAAATAGAATAAGGATACTGTTGATAAACTTTGATTATTGTGTGAAAAGCCAGTGCTATTATGTTCTATTGAATATTAATTTTAGGAAGTATTGTCTGATTATTACAGAAACAAGTTAAACTGCACTGTAAGCTGTGAAGGAATAATAGTAATAAAGGATAATTGCAACAGGGTGTTTCGAATATTCCTAAAGACCTTTTGAAGGGCAGTAAGGGCGCCTATACACACACACGCACACGCACACACACACACACACACACACACACACACACACACACACACACACACACATTTCTATATTGTCAAATAAAATTCCTTTTTCCTTCGACGCACACTTACCCTTCCTTACCCCCTCCCCCCTCCCCCCTTGCCTTCCTATCCTCCCCCCTTCTCCCTTCCCCCTTCTATTCCCTTATTCATCCTCTCTTCTCTCTCTTTCCCCATCCTCCTTCTCTTCCCATCTTCCATCTTCCACCCTCCCACTTTCTCCTTCCTCCCTCCTTCCTATCCAATCCTCCGCCTTCCCCATCCTCCTGTCCTCCTCTTTTCCCTTCTTTCCTCCTTCCTACTTCTACTTCTCCCTCACTATCTCATCCTCTCCCCTGTCTCTATCTATCCCATCCTCCTCCTACCCTACCTCCCTCCTTCCCCTTCCTCCCTCCTTCCCACCCTCCACCTCCCTCCTTCCCTCCAACCTTCCTACCCTCCCTCCCTCCTTCCCTTTCCTCCCTCCTTCCCACCCTCCACCCTCCCCATTCCTACCCCATCCTCTTACCCTGGTGGAGAGGTGGTGGAGGTGGAGGGTGAGTGGAGAGGTAGGGAGGGTGAGGGGGAGGTGGAAGTGGAGAGGGTGGGGAGGAGGAGGTGGAGAGGAGGAGAGGTGGAAGAGGGTAGGAGGTGGAGGTGGAGGAGAAGAAGAAGAAGAAGCAAAAAGAGAAGAAAAAAAGGAGGAGGAGAGAAAGCGAGAGCAAAAGAAAGAGACAATTAAGAAAACGAAAACAGATATGAAAAAGAAAATGAAAAATACAAAGATAAAAACAAAACGAGAGAGAAAGAAAACGAAAGAGAAAAGAGCGATACTTTTTGATACATTTAGATACAGATTCAAACTACACTTTCAGAACCAGGTCGACAAATCAAAGGTCAGACAAATAAAGATAGAGAGATAAAGATAATAAATGATAAATAAGATAGATTAAGATAATAAATGATAAATAAGACAGATAAAGATAATAAATGATAAATTAGATTGAGATAAAAAATGATGAATAGATAAAGATAAACAATGTAGCACAAACAAGAAAAATGAGCAAATATGCGCATTTGGTGTCCATAAAAAGGATTTTTTGTACACATATACGTACACACGCAGAGATAATGACATAGATCTACTTATCATACACACAGAGAAATACACATAAACATACATAGATACAAACACATACAAACACACATAGATAAATAACATACACAACCTCCCCCCCTACACACTAACACATAAACACACACACACACACACACACACACACACACACACACACACACACACACACACACACACACACACACACACACACACACACACACACACACACACACATAATAAAAGAACATACCCCNGCCCTTCCTTGCCCTAATCCCTCGCCAGCGCCTTCGGGGCGGTCTTCCCTTATACCCCACCTTCCGAATCGCCACAGAGCGGGTCAGCCCTCCCTCCCAACCTTTCTCCCAAGTCACATCAGCGCCCGGCCCCCGCGGCGCGCCTCCTCTATCTCTCTTCCTTTTTCCAAACTCCGATCCCCGTACGTAATTCGTTTCCCCCTTTTAAGTCCCTCCTTGTGTGCCGGGTCCTCCGGTCCCAGGTGGGTAAGACGTCCCCACCTTCCCTTCTCTCCCCCTTACTGTCCTTTCTCTCCCGTCTGCACCTCCCTCCCAAGATACCGTTCCTGCCGCCCCGCCCCCCGGGGCCGCCCCCCCCCCCCCCCCCTCCGCCTCCCTTCCCTCCTCCGAACTGTAAAATAAAAACACGTGGACGAAATAAAGAATTAGCTAAAACAGATAAATCAAATCTTGACTCCAATATCGGTAAAACGCAAATTCGCCCAACCAAACTTTTCGGTATGAACCCGAATCCGATTCGAATCCCATCTCCCTCTTCCTCCTCCTCCTCTTCTCCTCCTCCTCCTCGTCTCTTCTTCTTCTTCTTCTACTCCGCCTCCTCCTTCTCTTCTTCTTTCTCCTTTTCAGCATCCTCCTCCTCCTTTCTCCTCCCTTCCTTGTCCTCGTCCTCCTTCTCCTCCTCTTCCTCCGCCTCCTCCTCCTTCTTCTTCCTCTTCTTCTCCTCCTCTGCCTCCTCCTTCTCTTCCTTCTCCTCCTTTCGCATCCTTCCTCTCCTCCTCTCCTCCTCTCCTCCTCCTCCTCCTCCTCTCCTCCTCTCTTCTTCTTCTTCCGCATCCTCCTCCGCCTCCTCCTTTCCTCCTCCTCCTTTTCCTCCTTTTCCTTCCTCTTCCTCTTCCTCCTCCTCCTCCTCCTCCGTCATTCATGCACACGAAACAAATAACTCGCGCTTTGCACAAGTCTATGTAGTATTTATCCTCCGCAGAGCAGCATCAGCTCTACTCTCTCTCTCTCTCTCTCTCTCTCTCTCGGTTCTCTCAGTTCTTCTCTCTCTCTCTCTCTCTCCTCTCTCTCTCTCTCTCTCTCTCTCTCTCTCTCTCTCTCTCTTCTCTCTCTCTCTCTCTCTCTCTCTCTCTCTCTCTCTCTCTCTCTCTCTCTCTCTCTCTCCTCCCCTCTCTCTCTCTCTCTCTCTCTCTCTCTCTCTGTCTGTCTCTGTCTCTCTCTCTCTGTCTGTCTCTCTCTCTCTGTCTCTCTGTCTCTGTCTCTGTCTCTGTCTCTGTCTCTCTCTCTGTCTCTGTCTCCCTCTCTCTCCCCTCTCCCTCTCTCTCTCTCTCTCTCTCTCTCTCTCTCTCTCACCTCTCTGTCTCTCTCTCTCTCCTCTCTCCTCTCTCTCTCTCTCTCTCTCTCTCTCTCTCTCTCTCTCTCTCTCTCTCTCTCTCTCTCTCTCTCTCTCTCCTCTCTCTCTCTCCCTCCCTCTCCTCCCTCCCTCCCTCTCTCTCTCTGTATATATATATAATATATATATATATATATATAATTATATATATATATATATATATATATACATATATACACACACACATATATATACTTACTTTCTGTCTTTTATTTTCGGGAAAATGTTTCAGAGTGTTGGAGCTTCGAATGCCGGGATTCGACCCCGGGAGACGAGAAATATTGTGTTGCTAATTCGGACCGCGCAGTATTTTCCTGGCTGCCTATTTCTGT